ATAATCCTCCTCTGATTTGCCTATATTAATTAGCTCTGGGTGGTGATCATTGATCCATTGCTTGAGTTGCGCCCAGAGGTGTTCAATAGGGTTGAGATCAGGACTATAGGCTGGCTATTCCATCAATTCTATGCCCTCCTCTTGAAGCCAATTGATAATCTTCTTCGCAGTTTAGATTCGGGCGTTATCTTGCATGAATTTGCGCTCTGGTTTGTATATCTGAGGCATCTGCTTATAAAGCACTGCCAGATAAGAGTTGGCAGTATATCCTGACTTCTCTGAATCAGGATCGCGCTCTAATAACACGATATCTAAACGACCTTCTTTATGAATTGCACCCTATATTATAATACTGATATCTTTGCTCTTCTTATATATATTAATTATATCAGAATTCTAATGTTGTTATGATGTACAAAAGGCTCATGTTCAACGCGCCCTAATGCCTCTTTCAAGTAAACATTCATTACTAAAGATAATCTTGCTCTATTCAGCCCACGTCTAATTTTGTCATTCTTAACACTATACAAGTCGTTTAGTAGCTAATTGAGGAGTTAATAAAGGTCTTTTTTTAGCTAGCTAATTAGTAATGCCTTCGTCTTTGAGGATTCGATAGATAGTCTTTCGATAGATACTAATACCAACTTCAGACTTGATTTCTTGATAAGTAGCCTTCGGATTAATACGAATAAGACGTAGAATATTGCGTTTTTGAACTCTATTCAAGGTCTGGGGGCGTCCTGAACGAGGCAAGCTTTTGCCTTGGTTGCGCAGTGGATTTTGAACAAGGGTGTCGAAAATAGTGGTTTTGCTGCATTGCAAATTTTCTCCAATCTTTTGATTTGTCAACCCCATAGCTTTGTACGCCGAAATTTGACCTCGTTGGTATGGAGATAACTCCTTGCCATAGCTCCTGTTAATTTCAAGAGGCGCCAGAGCCTTGCGTTGAGCCATGGTAGTTGTTTGAAAAAGGGTGTAAAAAAACGCGTGTTCAAAAATAACGCGTTTTGGTCGGATACTTTCGCGCGGGGCTGTATGTGGGCGTGCGCCTAGAGTGCGTTTCGCCAGCGTTCCGTCCTGCATCCATGTGCTCAGCTGGAGGCAGCCACAGCATTAACTTATTTGCTGTGCCAGAACCGAGAGTGGCTGTAGCTCCCTAACAGTTGAGCTTCATCTGATTCTTCGTATGTAGATTTCGACTATTTGAGATTCTTTTGAGGAAAGTGAAATTTAAAATTAAAAAAGCCCAATTCTGTCACTTAGAATCGATGTTGTTATCTAGTTATACCAGAAGAAAATTACACGAAGCTCAACATCATTTGAACATAAGTTTATTCAATCTTAATTCGTAAAAGACTTGTAAAAGAGGACTGATTCTGTTCGGCCGCCAAATATTTACTGGATGGCGTCTGGAGATGCGGAGGATTTTTAGTGGTTGGGATAAAATCTAGACGAGGGATCACCCTGGAATCAGGGGAAAGATAAGGTCTATGGGCTTTCCTACGGCGGACTATTACTATGTTGATGACACATCAGAATTTTGAACTTCCAAATCAATTTTAAGTTATTATAAGAGCTATGCAAGTCTGTTCTCACAGAATATACTGATATTTCTCTTAATGAATTACAGGAAGAGTATATAAGAAGAGGATACATGAAGAGAGTGTCTTAAGAGGGTGTCCCAAGAGGGTGTCCCAAGAGGGTGTCCCAAGAGCGTATCCCAAGAGGGATAAGGACCTAGAGAGTAGGTCCCTTAAACAGAATCACACAACCCTGTTACTGGCTCAAAACTGAATTTCAGATTCAAAATTTTGATGTGTCGTCAACTCAATGAAAGTCCGCTGTACTTCACTTTGGGTTTACAGCGCTAACTGTCTACGGTGCAGATTTTTGGAGAGGGCTGACAGCTCAAAGCGTTGATTCCATGGTGATTTGCTATATTCTAGCTCAAAATCTAAAGTACCCAGGAAAGAGCTCCGCAGGTGCCCAAGGCTGACGGTGTGACTGCCCGGCCCGGGGCTGTGGGCACCATGGCGTCTGATCGCTGTGGGGGCGAAAGTGCGGCCGTTTGCTTTATCTTTGGCAGACCCCCAATGCTAATTGAGACGTTCTTTCTGTCTTGACTTCTCCGTCAGAGAAGACAACCATGGGACAAATGTCAATGTGACATGGTAAAGAGGTGGGCGGAACGATGCAGCCCTGCTTTTTGTTACTCGACCGTCGTTGACGACTCCAACCCCTACGTTAACAGAATCAAGTACACAGAATGAGGGTCAACGTCGTTTCGGTACTCTCAATGGACACAGAAAGAAAGCTTCGAATTCGGAGAAATGTATCCTCAAGACAAGAAATTCGCCCTAGCAAAATACTGCGCCATAATCTTCTGGATTGACCAGGAAATGAAAGCGGCATTGGCAAGCCTCATGCTGCTGGATGATTGAATACAGCATGTCCACTCCGCTCAAAGGCCATTTTCTCCAACGCTATAGTTTTCCAGGGTAGATTCATCGTCATCAAACATCGAGGCCGCCGGTTCATCGATTATCTCCGAGGGCCAGTTGGGAAACCCCACTTCCGAGTGATCTGTATGATGGACATCCACCCGTGTTGGCAGCGAGCTCCATGTTCCTCTGAATCGCAGGCTTCGATGAGAGCCCGTTGAAGATGTATGACGCTGAGAAGGTGTCTGACGTGTGTGGGTGGGATCTGAAAGAGTAGGCCGCCTTCCGGTACGGTTAATTCGCACGGAGGTTGTGGGAATTGAAACATCGATGCCACCCTCTTGCATGACTACTGAATGAGCCCATGGCAATGAGTTTTGCGGCCTCACTTCTGATACTTCAGAACCTGGCGAGTTGTTCTGAGCAGTTTGGTTGATGATCTCACCGATTTCCTTCTCGAAGTGGTCGAAGTCGGTGATCGTGGTCTCCTGCTGCCAGTCTTGCACGAGCATAGGCTCCCTATCGAAAAGGCTTCCAGTGAACTGAAGTATCTGGTCCACCCAGTCCTGGCCACTGGTCATCTGATCATTGAACATGGTTGAATTCGTTGTGGACGATTGCATTGTGTGGACCCGTTGCTTGAAGTCTGCAATCAAGTCACTTCAAATGCCAATCTCGACAGATCTGAAAACAAGCACCTGTGTGCGTGAATATAATACCAAAAGTTTTTACGTGTTTTGTCAACTTTGATGATATTCGATGTATATTCCCTCGCAGAAAAAGGTTGTTTGCGAGGAGCGGTCGAGGACAAGATCACGAAGGAAATGGGGAAGAATTCGGCTTAAAGTGTGGCATGACTTCCCCTCCCTGATGTCGGGGAGAAGTGGGACGGGGGTCCACAGCAACACGGACTGTGACGCTTGATCAGAGAGGGTGACCTGTGGCATTGAGCGTGCCAACTCAACACTTTGTGAAAACACCAGTACGCTTATAGGACAGACTGGATTTGGATTGAGCCACGGAACCGCTTGCGTTATTTCGGAGAGCATACGAGGAGACCACCGCTGCCGGGGAAACTCGATAGCAAAAGCATGGGCAGAGTTCCAATGGCCACGACTGATCTCAAGTGTCATTTCATTACGGATCATGGGCGGGCCTTCTGTCGATGGCTCATCAAATCCTGGCGTCTCAGTGAACCTATTGTTGGGCAAAATGACCGCCGCCCTCGGTAAACCGTAATGCCATGGGCCAAACGTTCGCCTCACTTAAAGGGAAACCGACTAGTGTTGTGAGACCTGAGGCTCTAATGCCATAGAAAGAAGTGTTGTTTTCTAGCCAATGGTCATCACAACCTCCGCTTAATAACGAACAACAGGCCACTCCTGGTGCATGACTCGTTGATAAAAACACAACGTACTATCGGGCATGCGAGGGATCCCTGTTACCACCTACTCATCCAGAGTATTGACATGGCATGCTCATAGTTGTATAAAGCTGCTGATGTAATGTAGACTGAGAATCAGAACCCATGGGAATGGACCGGTACCCCTGTAGTGGTCTGGTGGATCCGTGGCTTTATTATCAAGATGTGATTGGTGCATATTTGTGTGAAGACTGGATGGGAAAATAACTATGTACTGCATGCAGGGCGGCTGAGATCGAACGATCTACTACGGTACTAGGCATAATTACTGTCACTCGCACGCTAGTTATTTAGTACCAGGTTACCAAAACGCCTCCTTTACAAACCCCCCGCGTTATGACCTCGTTGTCGCTATTATACGCGGCATTGTTAATTCTACGCGTTATTGTACCGATACTATCTCATTCACCGCCAACAGCCTATCTTCTAGAGTTACTTGAACCAATGCCAGCAAGGCGCCAGGCAGACATTGATGTAATGGAATGCACACTCAGTTTTGAGCAGGATACTCTAACTTTAGTCCTAATCGAGCAATTTTGTGCCGTTTTATCTTCGGGTTACAAGCTGTTACTAGTTTAGCGTATAAATGACATGTATTATGCCTCCGTAGTAATGCAATGCAAATGTAGTCAGAAGTTAGCGCGCAAATACATTTGATGACTGAATGCAAAAATAGTGCGTAAGTCTGCACAAAACACTGTCTCTTCGCATCAGGGGGCAAAAGGTGTTCAAACGTAACGTGGGAATCGCATAGTGCTTGCACTGAGGCATTATCGTCCGTACAGGCTCTAAGATGTCGGCCTGGGACGCAGCTGAATGCACATACCTGATTTGCTTGTAAGAAAACTGGTCATTGATATCGTGATCCACTCTTAACTATCTTCTCCTTCTCTTCTACCTCTGACGTGAAGCGAACGATAAGAAATCTGCCTTTGAAGTACCTAACCCTAAAAAACTACCCCCACAAATTGATCATTTTTTGCTGTGCGATGACCTCCTGCCCTCGATCTCGTCCTCCTGCAGCACCAATACCACAACTTGACTGGGAGCCCCCACAGAGCACGTATTACAGAATTATATAAGGCCAATAGCCTTCCGGATGTCAAGCACATCATGGCTCGAGAGCACGGTTTCACTGCCATGTAAGCTGGAATACTCTTTTTATCCCTTTCCCAAAACACAAGCCTGTTGGTGTATTGTATGAAAGAAGCTGGCTGAGTCGACGCCTACTAGGGATGGTCAATACAGGAAACAATTTGGAAAATGGAAAATCCAAAAGCAACACCGCGGTGTGCAATACCCTCCACGTCCTCGGGGTGCCGGTAGCTCTGCTCGACCGAATAAGAGGCACGAAGCCGATCGTTTGTCATCTGAAGCTGAAGCCCCTCACATTGCAGAAACTGAGGTAGACCCTCAGATACTCCCTTGGGGAATGGGACGAGACGAGGCTTGGACTGAATCGCGGTGTCTTTCCGCTCAAGAACTTGACCGATTCGTGCGGAGAGGCGCAGATGGCGGCGAAACGGTCTCGCAAGTACGACGACAGCAGTCCCCAACGAACGTGGCTATTGCTGCATCACCGCACTCATCGACAATCAATGGCTGGGCATCTTTCTGTGATACAAGTACCCGAGCGCCTGGCTGTTACCAAGGAACAGAACCAAGCCTGAAGTGGAGCTCGTACCCTGCCAATGCGCATACGGACCATGAACACAGAGACCATCGATAAAACTAATCACTATCATTTGGTAAGACTTCATCGAGTTATGGGAGTGAAAACCCATCGGAATCAGGTCTCGAGACCCCGGACGAACAGTCTCTTGAATGCGGGTCAATTAATCTGGGTGGCATCAGCGTCAGCCCATCCGGAAGAACTGGACTTAGTACGCAGGGAATGCTGGGTCATTTTAAGGTCCCGCAAGACGATGATCTCCAAAAGGTATGTTTGTGAAACCGGCGCCACTGGATTGGAATGATCTCTGCATTCAAAGCTGTACTCCTATTGATATTTTGGCCAGAGTGCGGTGATTTTCCTTCCAGAAAAGGCACTGAATATTTTGTTGCATTCCCTTTGTCTATCATATAGCAAGGCAGCCAAAACCATCTATCGCGTTGGGATCTCTGGTCTGGCACGAGTAGTGGCTCCCCGAACTCTTTGTTCGGCCTTGTTAATATTGCAATGTCTTTCTGCTTGTTCCCCGTCAAGGACCAGACGCTGCGACCTCTTGTTCTCGCCTACAAATCATACTCTCCTTAGATACCAACGGATTCCTCATCATTCACACCTTGTCTAGTTGTCTTTCGATTTCTCCATGCCCAAGCATTTCATTCCACTGCGAGTATCGGATCGCCGACAACCTGACCTCTTCAGCGCGTAGCAGACCAATCACATCATGCGTCTTAGCTTGGCAAGTTCCATCGATTCGAGCCTCGATATAGACATAGCTGTTGATTGAATTTTCTCCCACTTCGTTGCTGGTAGGTCCCCATGATGCCGTTAACACACTGTCGTAAACGCGGTGTATGGGAATGAGGACGTTGACCAGGATAGATTCAGCTATTTGGTAGCACGGGGTGCTGCTATATGAAAGATACCAGGGACTGGCCGTGAGAGCTTCTTGCATTTCTGCTGTGAAAATCTATAGCTGTGGTTTTCGCGTCTGCAAGGGGACAGCCAGGGATAAAGCTGGACGGGTACACCAAGGGGAGAGACGTTCTTCGAAATGTACCAAGAAGTCGGTTTGGTTGACATCGGTTGTATTCTGTACTTCGGTCGAGGAGAGAGATTATAGGAGGTATCTATGATTCGAGATGGGATCGCGATTTCTGTAATGTGCTCTTCAAGTCACTCTTTCCTAGATCTAAAAGTAAGCGTTATCATGCCACCAAAGTATAGCGTAACCCTGCTCTCGTCGGTTCTCTGCATATTATAGATCTCACATCTCCTGTGAAAGAATTGTCGACAGCATTGTGCAAGAAAATCTTTGGCGGCTTCAAATTGTGAAGCGATCATACCATGGCAATGACTCGGTGGTCTGCAATCACGATTTCATGGCGATTTCCAAGGAGTCTTTGTGATGAAGAATAAGCAAAGTTTTCCGGTATTTCGGCGGGTTTCGTGGGCGAAGGGCTGCGGGAAGTGATCGTAAGTCCTTCTGTAGGGAATGAGTACTCCGAAGACGTCCAAAACACCCCTGAAGCTGGTAGTGCGTCTTTTGGCACGCCAGCAGGGCTACAGTCAGCCCAGCGTTTGCAGCGTGTAACCTACCAGAAAACAAAGTAGCGAACGAGGCTCCGAGGAAAGGGGAGCATGAAAAAAAGAAAATGAGTCCGCGCGTCAGGCTGGGGGGGCTGCTGTAGGTTAGGAGCCAAGCCTAAAATGCTCGCCCCCAAAAAGAGCCCTCAGCGTATCCCACCATGCTTCCAGGCAACGTATTGAAATCATCCGTGAAGCATTATCAGTGGTGTTCCATTGCTCAAAGTGCCTTCCTCTAGCAGAAAGTTTTGCTGCATCATGATCAAGCTATTCTGGTTAGCAGATTAATGGCGAGCTATCGTTACGAGTGATGAACACCCTTCGAGGTATCGCCATGAGGTCAATCTGGAGAAGAAATGCTGACTTAGGCAAATAATCTAGTTGCTACAAGAACCATCAGATGTGACGTCGATATTGTGCTTCTGATGTGCTCCTACCGTGGATTGTGCGGTGCACTCGCTGCTAAATGCCCATCAAGGAGTTCTTCCCTTTAACGCAATCTTGGGACCCTAGAAGGCGCTAAGAGTCGGCGATTCTTACGCACATGTAGCGCAATTGAGAGCAAGGGGAAGAAGCTCCGTGCTCATCTCTTAAGCCTTTCGGAGTCTGCTTAGGTATATTAGGATGCTCAGCGATATAATTACTGCAAATATGAGCTGCTCTTGTATGAAGATCTAGAGTAGTCTACGTACCAATCGGAAGACACTTATAAAAGCTTAACCAGTAGCATGTCTATTGTGTTACTTAGCAGGAAGAGGCCCACTGAAAATAACGTACCCAACTGTCATATGCACTACGCCCCAAATGCATGATTTTTAGCGCCGATATCTCCGTTCCTATCAGTTTTCAAGCCACCAATTTCAGCTCGCCGCCATTTAACTAATATTCATCTGAGGGCGATGACCTTTTGATGTATTGTTTCCAGAACATTTTTCTTTTCATTTCTATCTTCAATTTAGGACCAGCCACGTTCGAATAATAAAAATATGCTCCAACACCCAAAATGCCAAGTAACTTTGGTGCATTTGAGGGTGTAATGCATGCATATGACAGTTGGGTACAAAGTCGAGCAGGGTGCTTAAGATGTACAGATAATTATGCGATTATTATTCTACCTGCAACCTTACCTGTGTCCAGAAAAGTGATACATCAACCACTCCACCAAAAGGACAGCGCTTGTGGGTTTCGAACCACACTTAATTGATGTATCTTCTACTGACTTTTCCCGCTAGAAATAAGCTGACTTATGAGGCCGCCCCTCGGGGTGTCAGTGCTTCAAGTTGATGCCCACGGCCGAAATCCTTGGCCTCTAACTCGTGCTAAAAGGAAGTTAAGGTTTATGGCGGAGTGGGTAAAGGAGCAAGCAGCGCAAGGCTGCAGTTTGTGGCGCAGTAGCGCAGTGATGCAATTACGTAGTAACTCACTTTAACTCTGTGTAATCACATTAGCGGTACTGTATGCAAGTTACCAGCTGTCGTACAGAGCAAGGTTCGAGTATCTTACAGCTGTAATATCGGCTAGGCCAACCTCCAAGATCGTAGCCTATCGGCTAGACCACTTCTGAGTAACATGTCGGCAGGATATATCACCAGGAGCTAGCTGGATGGAAGCCAATCAGAGTTATTATCTATTACGGCAGGAGGCATAATGTTTGTCACCTGCGCGCACTAGTAACTGGTTGTAACGCCAAGATGTAACGCCACAAAATCGCCCAATTAGGACTACTCTAATTTTTTTCTTAATATCGAGTATGCCGTCCTTCTGCATCTTTTACTGCCTGGCGTAGAATTGGAACGAACTTGATAGAATTAGTAGATGGCGCAGAATGAGATAGAATCAGTAGAATAACGCGTAGAATCAACAAAATGCGCGTAGAATGGCGACAGTGAGCATTCGTACAGAGCAACGAGGTATCTGTATGAGCGCTGTTAATGACGTTACTTACTAGTGCGCAGGTGACAAACATTATGCCTCCTACCGTAGTAAGTTAGTGCGGCTCCGCAGATTATTCACTGCTTTGCTAAAACAACCTTGGAGCTGCCATGTGCCGTGTCTAATAGTCTTACTAGTTTATGCACATCTGCTAGTTTCAGCCATCCCAACCGCCACTGTTCGGGACAACCGCTACGACGTAAGGGGATGGCGCTGATTTTCTACCAGGGGGATATCCACCATATCCACCAAACCGCGGTAAAATGCTGCATTTTTCTAATTGGTCCAATTTGGCACTAGCCGCTTTTGGCGCCCGTAACCTTAATTCATTGCAGGCCAATCAGATGCTAGGATGAAAACCTTATGTATTAAGAGCTAACCATATTCGGAAGTACAACAAATAACAGCAAAACTCCTTATATTTACTATGAGAGTGGTAAATGCCTATCCCAACAACGCGACTTGTAGCAGATAGGGATATTACACTTGCCACAAGACCATATGGAGCTTCTAATGCCTTTTTGGCTCCTTTTGGCCCTGTGGGGGGCATTGGCAGGCCTCTCACCAAGGGCAATTGGTGGCCTGCCTCGTTTCGGAGTTGGATTACAGACCTGGCAGCGGCGATAATTATCCAATTTGACCCATGAGTGCCCTTTGTAGCTGTCTTTTCGTACTGATTTTGTATGTGGAGCGCAGCTCTTTTGGGGCGGCCTTGGGCGTCGTTGCCGTAGAATAGCTCCAGGTCCTCAGAGCAGATTTTTCGCAATTTCTTCTTGAAATTCTGCATGCGAGAGTATTTTGATCCTCCTGCCATTTCTATCCTCTCTTTCTTCATTAGCTAGCTTATATAGAATATAAGCGTTAGTAATAGCTGCATTGATAAGGAAGAAGAATAGAGGGAACCAGTTACGCCTGTGGTGATGTCGAGCTGTTGTGTAGTAGCTATTCAGCTTTGCATGGTTGTCTGAGCCGCCCATCTCTTTATTATAACGATCAAGAGGATACAGTTTCCTTAGAAATGGCCTTAGAGAGGGCGCAGAGGGCGAAGAGGGCGAAGAGGGCGCAGAGGGCGTAGAACTTTTAGAGTTAGCAGAATTCGTAAAACTCGCAAAATTCGTAGAATTCGTAAGATTCAGAAAACGCAGAAAACGCAGCATTCAAAGCATTCGTAGAATTCGCAGAGGGCGCAGAGCGCGTAGGCAGCGTAAAATTGGCAGAAAACGTAGCATTCGCAGCATTCGCAGAATTCGTAGAGGTCGCAGAGGGCGTAGATAGCGTAGAATTTGCAGAACTTACTGAATTCGCTGAATCAAGAGATTCTGCGAATTTGGCGTATTTCACAGAAGCACCATGGCGTTTAACAGCATCAAAATAGACGCATTCGTCAACAAGAGGGTCATATACTGTAGTCATCATTGCCTTTGAAGCCGAATTGCAAAAGGCGATGTAGTTGATGCTACCAACGACCCAATTAAACCACTCTCCATGGTCATTCTGCTTTGTTATTGCATCTCTGAGATATGCCAGCTCTTTCGGTATCCCTGACCCTGCTTTTGCTGTGCCGTTGGCGCTAATACCAAGCTCATATAGCTCTTGATAGAGCTTACGAGTAGTAAAGAAGTTATCAAGATGTAGGATATAAAAGGGCCTTGGTCGCGAAAAGCGTTCCAAAAGCAAATGCGCAAAATCAAGTACAACTGCCTCACTTTAAGAGAAATCAGAGTACTCTCCTAATTCAGCTACTTTCTTAATAGCGCTGCTAAACTTGAAATCGACCATATAGCCGTTAGAGCAACAGAGGCTGTATATCTTGTATCCCTCGCCAGCGGCCTTGGTGTTTATCTGAATCATATGCTTTGAACGACCCTTAAAACTAATCAATTGCTTATTAATTAAGAGATCTTGTAGTAATTGGTATATCTCCTTTGTTGTTGCTTCGCGAAATTTTGTAGCAAGAGGCTCAACTTTCTGATACTATTGATGGTCAGCAACAGGTCCTGGCTTATTAATCTTGAGATATCTTGTAATCTGCTTGAATCGCTCTTGAGAGATATATTTAGCAACTGGCCAATTTGGCTGGTTATTATTCTGATTCTAGTAGTATCCAACGTCTCTGTTACCTGATTGAACGCTAATTAGGAGTATGGCACTAATATAGCCTCTAATATCTGTAGCTATTACATCTTTCTATGGTCACTGATTTTTCTTGAATTCTTTTGATTGCTTATTAAAGGCGTATTTGTTAGTATGCTCTGTAATCTGCGTAAATAGCTCTTTTGGAATAAATCGATAGAATAGGTCAATTGGCGTGCATTTGTGAGAAGGTAGTAAAACTCGGCCTGGCGCAGACGGTTTCGGAACGTTCAGCTTTTGAGAGTAGAGGCGAGGGGGGCTAATGACTTCGCGAAGGATTTGTAGCTTTTCTGACTTATTTCGAGTTGATTCAACTTGGTATTGCCACTCCTCCTTCTTTTCTCTACTCTGTGAGTTTGTATCAACTCTTTTAGAGCTGTTTTGGCTGCTTGATAGCTGTCGTGGTTTTTTATTCGAATTTGAGGAGCTCAAAATTAAGGAATCCGCGTGTGTAGACTGTGCCGCAGCTGTGGGAGATTCCAAGGAAAGTACTTCGAATGGCTGATGTTGAGCTTGATTTTCGCGGGCTTTCCAACTCTGAATTCGAGTTCTCTTTGGCCGAGGAAGGTCTTTAGCTAATGGAGCAGCTTCTATAGTATCTAGAGGTCCTGATATCTCTTCTTGATGGTGCTTTTGCGTCATTGAGTTCTTGATATATACTCTATTCCTACTGCGCTGCCGCAGCTATGGTGTTGTTACACAAAAAATTAAGGTTTAAGGTTACGGGCGCCAAAAGCGGCTAGTGCCAAATTGGACCAATTAGAAAAATGCAGCATTTTACCGCGGTTTGGTGGATATCCCTGTCAAAGGGCAAGAGTGGATCGTGACGAAAATCGACTGCCCACAAACCACTAGCCGCCCTCGAGAAAACGAGAGTCCCGAGCAATGGAAGTCAGCAAGTCAATTTCTGAGGCAATCACTTCATGCAAGATTCGATCATTCAACGCCAACGAGTCTAAAGAAGTACTAGTAGGGACTTGAGAAGTTGTGTGTAACCCACATTTATGGGTGGGCAGAAGTTGGTTCTATGAAGGATTGCATTTGTTTCGACTACCAGCATCCCCGCCATCAAGAATTGAAAACGCTATATCCAAAGGATAGCCAGCCATGTTCGGTACTGGATTGTTCGATTGGCCACTTGATACGGGCACAGGGTGCCTGTACCTACAGATACTTGTTTCATGCTTTCTTGTGCTCATGCTCATATGCAGCACCAGTTCCAAGCTGAAGGGAATTCCACGGCTGATCATGTGGCCCTTCGGTGTACCAGTGGCGCATTCCAGATCTCTCCAACACCGGTAGGGTGGGATGACGGTACTCGTTCTGTGCTGCTTCGGCCACAGAAGCACTTCTCGGTTGGTCCGGACGTTGGGTGTTGAGATTGCCATTTCTTGTCGAAGGATGTGATTTTGTGGTGTTCTTTTGGATGGCGTCGGCATGGAGACGTTGGAGCTCGTGATACATCCCAACTGGATGTAGATGGGGTCCTCTGGCCGAGGCGGGATCGTGAACAGCGCCAATATGGTTGAGATTCTCGTTACGCTTGTCTATGGTACCGTTACCCATCAACGTCTTTGTGTGCTTGGCTTCGGCAGGCATGGTCTCTTATGACAATCCAGAGACAGCTAGCTACATGGAGTGTCAGCAGAAACGGTTCTATTACCAAAGGCAATTGAGTATTTCTTTACCGTTAGTGGTCTTCAAACAAAGTCAATGCAAGCTATGGATCAAGAGATAAAGTCAGAGAGTAGTGATGAAGCGGACCCTTATAGAATGATGAATGAAGATGAACAGTATGTAGGACTCTGTAGGAGTATGAGAGTACTTATAGCTCAGATCGGCCTGGCCAGAGGATACACCGGAGGACTCCTTCCTAAAAGGGATGCCTCTGCACAGCTGCAATCAGCAAGGCGTCAGGCAAAGGGAGTGATGGGAGTTGGACTCCAGCCAGCCGTCATGAAAAGTTTCAGGGGCAGCGGTGCTTCGTAGATGCTTGCTCTTCTTGGTCACTCGTCCTGCAGCCGGGGACTGGTAGCACGGGGCCCCGGCAACTACCGCTTGGGGGAGGGTGGGGAAGACTCCATCGAGTAAGTGGATTGATTTGCTGCCATCACTGTCGGCATGGCGGAGCATACATTTGACCAGACCGAAAGTCCTGCACGTACGGAGTAACAGCACAGGACATTCCATCGGAGCATATGGCAGCCGCCATGCGTCGCCCTTCCATGTTTGCATGACTTCCCTGCAGAAAAGTCGCATGCGGTGCCGATTTGCTGTTCTGTAGGCCACGTACAGTGGCCCGTATAGTTCCTTGATGAGGAATAGTCGCAGAGAGACAGCACATGTTGAAGGATTACACTGTACTAGTTAGGCAACTGATGGAAACTTGTCAAAATGTCAGTTTCATTTCAGGCGTCCAGACATGGACTCCTTCCATAACTGGTTAGTATCAAGGTGCCTGGCAATGACCTCATGCTGTGCGAGTAAGTGCTGAACAGCAAATAAGCACCCATCAATGTGTGCTTAGTTTTAAGCCTAACCATAACATGATCTAGTTATGGTAATATTTTAGACATTTCCCCCCCCAAATTATGGCCATACGACGATCGGATTATGGTCGCCGATCGCTGGGGATTGGGGTGTTAGACGACCGCGGCCTAGCGAAAAAGACGAAGAAAAGGCGCAGAAAAGACGCAGAAGTTGTGTGGTAGAAGTGTGTTGATTCTATCTACGTTTATTTGGCGCCTTTTGTACGTCAATTCCTTCTATGCTTGGCAGGCGGGTGACAGGCGTGTGGCAGGCGGGTGACATTGGGTTGTGTAACGCAGCTACTAGAAATCTAAATAATAATACAAAGTTCGGATGAAATACAGCAACTCCGCAGGCGCCAAGGCCCCACATCGCCCTTTGATTGTTATGAAAGCGAACCATTGGTTTATTTCCTACGGACCAATAACGCGTCCTTTCTGGAGCCCTTTTCCAGGTAAGTTCTGGCAGGAAATGGAAATGTTTGCCCCGTGCTATCCTCCGAAGTCAAAAATACTCTTGCAATCACCGTCGTGAACAAAAGGCTGCAAATAGTAGTTACATGCGTGCTTGCACCTGATCTAATACAACTAAGGGTAAAATAAGCCTCCAGGACTACTGGTGATCGCCAATGGTACAAAGCTACGAAGACATATGAATCCAAGTCTGAGTGATTATCTTCGAATCTTGTGCTGGAACAGCTCCAACATCAATATACCTGCAAATTGCTGTGGCGTGGCCAATCGGACGGTTCCATTGAACTTGAACCCCGGCTTAGGTGACAGTTGAACCTTCTGCTGAGGCGTCATCGTATCCAGGCGAATATACAAACACTAATCGAGGAGACTTCTACTTCGAAGATCCTTTTTGTGGAAAGCCGGTGGTAGGTTTTACTTTTCTTGTGTGCTAGATTGCAATGCCTTCTTGGATTTTGTGAATCGCTGGTTCCCAGTCCATTACGCTACCACGCAGTGATTCGCTGTCGTCTGTGGACATGGTTCTGTAGGAAGCCATGGAGAGTCCCAGTTGTCGGCGAAGTGATCCACTCGACCAAGAACTTCGAGTTGGGCCACTCCCGATTGAATCGCGACCAGTTTGCGTTTCACCCTTATTTCGAGTCACTTTTCGCCGCAAGGAAAGCATAGAAGCAAGTACGCTGCTTTGGGAAGATCGGGGCGTCAAAGAGAGGGTTGGATCGAAGGGTACACTCTGAAAGTGTAAGTGATCGGTTCTAGAGAGTTCGGTCTTTTCACTGCTCATACTAGCAGCTGCTAAGACCTGACTCGGCGGAAAGGAAAGAGATATGGTGGTATGCTCTTTTACGAACGTGCTGAAGTATTCCGAGTTCATGTATGAACTCGGTGATGGTGTGGTATTGACGATAGCGCAAGCGTTCAACAGGGCCCACATGAAGCTGTGGCTGGAATCATTCGCTGATACCAGCTTGAGTGCACACTCTTGTACATGCCTCAGGAGTTGGGCTACGTAATATAGCCACGAAGAACTGCTGCGATCCTCGGTACACAGCAGTTCACATTGCATCGACCATTGACTTGTCGAGCTCACTAGCGTAAGGGATATCGCGGCGAAAATGTCCGAAGAGGATATTCCCATGAGTCGGCACGTTTCGGGAACGACTTCAGAGATGCCATCATTGAATGTGAGCATCCTTGCTGTGGAATAGGTAGTCCACGTGTGACAGAATATTAGCATGCTGATTTGCCGGGCAACGCTCATCTCTTCATACTCCCAATTTGGCCTTTGTTCAAAGACTGCAGATATATTCTTGTGCAACTCTTCATCGAGCAGCCTAGCGGCGCACCACGTGAATATAAAGCGCAACGCCTCATCGTGATTTTGTTCCGTTTTCCACCATGCAGCCCGTTTTAGCATGTAGTAACACGAACATTCGGTATCAGCAACGGATTCGGAGTAGGGAGGTAGGATCCGTGTGCTGCACTGATGATAAGAAGGAGAGCTGAAGGGTTGTTGATCGCGTCGAGCGCTTCCTGTCTCATGAATCCAACTAGAGATAGCGTGGAGAGCATAGCCACAGTCTCCTAAAGATCGAGAAGGCTGGCTCAATCTCTGCAGAACATCTGCTAGTTGAGCACGCAATGTGGATTCAGCCTCGGAAAAAGTTGTTAGATTGTCTTTGGAGTCACCTAGCAAGTTATGTATGGCGAGTTGAGCAGCGTTAAGCTGTGGTGGAGTGAACGATGAGCGTGCAACGTCAAGGACAGCAGAACTAGCAATGTAAATGGTACGTGCTTGCGGGCTAACAATGTCTGCCACAGCATAAAATAAAGATCGTATGCATCTTGAGATAACCCAACGGTAAAGAGGATATTAGCTGCTTCAGCAATGTTTTGCAGGTCTGGGAATGACAGCATGTTCACGATATCGTAGGATTCTTTTGCTTGAAGGATGTCTCCCGCGGTAACAGTCTCCCTACAGTCGGCACAGGTGTCACTTTCAAGCCGACCACTCGATTGTTGAGGTACAGACAGAACAGCGCTAGTGCTGCGGCTGGGATGAAAATGCTTCTGCTGTGACATCGGTGTCTCAGGCCCACTGTTACGAACGGGGTTCCTGACTCCAAAACCCCAATCGGGATCAGTCGGGAGAATCGCTTGTTGGGAACATTCAGTGCCCGCGGCCGGCGTTGGACTGGGAGTGTGCGCAACCACGCAGTCCACAGTTGTCTCGTTTGGGAGAGCATTGGTGGGTGTCACGGGTAATGACCAATCAAGAGATCGACTTTGATGTGCATTCACTGGGGAACTCTGGAATTCAGACCGAGGTGGTAGAGTCTTCAGATGAGGCAGCTCCCACTTCCGAAATATTGGCTTGTACTGAGGCCGCCTGCAATCCAAATGTCAGTCATACTCAGCAGAGACAGATGTACCAATGCTACGACCGTAGTATAGTGTGACTTTGCTGAGACGCAAATACAATAGAGAATCAAAGACGGGGCAGACAACTCACGAAGCTGTAAAATTGTGGTCTCGTTCCATAATATTCATTAAGCAGCCAAGAGACATGAGCAGACGAAGTTGGCATATAACTGGCTTATGCTTTTTCCATTCTGATTCTGTGATAGAGCGAGCTTGAGTTGCTCGACCATTCCAGTTTAAACGCATATTCGGTAATGAAATTCGAAAGACAGTTTGAGCCGTGGCGCTTTATAAACCAGAATCTATTGAATGATATAGTTCCTGATACTGAATAAGAATTCTGAAACAAGTCTGTAGGTTTTCGTACGATCGTGAGTCTAGAGTGCAGAAAGGGTCGCCGTCCGAGATAGCGTGCACCATGACAGCGTCCAATGCTGGAGTTGCAGCCTTATGCGATGCCAAGTCAAGCATACTTTCCATATTCGGTAAGCTCAAGTCAAGGTTGTGGCGCTTTTTAGTTACAGGTTAGGGCGAGGAGCAGAAGACCAGTGATGCTCGTATCTCTCAACGGCCATGCTGTATGGCGCTATGGCATGACGTGTGATTCGGAAGAAAAGATCGAGTACTGTGTAGGTGCAGTTTCAGAGTGCGGCTAACATCCTCAACATGGTCGGTACATTCTTCGATGACGTTCCATTGATCTGAGCCCCCGAGACCAATGCTTGACACTATTTCTTATGTCTGGAGGTTATTTCTTGATGGCAGGTAAAGTCGATTTCAGCTTGCTGGGTAGTGATGTGATCTTTTAGCAAACACCTATGGTGTGGAATTAAGGACTAAGATCATGAGTAGGTTGCGATGAGCCAAGTGATGAATGCACGGATACTAGTATGCTGCTGCAACTGAGGCACGTGGACGACGTCTCCAGAAGTATTGGCAGAAATCACATAGAAGTCTAGAGCATTATCGGCCTTTGGAAGGTATCATGCTGACTAAGCACTGTAGCCGTCGATCGATCCAAAGCTTGGGGACCTAGCAGCCAGAGCTTGAATTCCGAGTCAGTTGTCGGCGGCGGGAATCCTCGGCTTACAATGCCAAAGGACCACCCGGAGGATATTGATAGCTCGTGGAACCGTAAGGTGCTTTGAATTTTGCTAGTAAGTACAGTTATAGATGGTATTGGAGTTTGGAAAGCTCAATCCATGAAATTCGGATGTACTACTACGGCTACAGGCCTAATTTTTGCACCCCCCCTGGTCGAAAACGCTAGTATCCGTACAAAACCTACTATGCAAAATTAAGTATAGATGTGCACAAAATTGCTTAATTAGGACTAGTCTCTAAAATCGAGTTTGTTTTCCATTGGCATCCAAAACTGCTTGACATCTCTCCTGCATTGACTCAAGCAACTCCTCGAGATATTCAGGGGGCACAGCATTCTATGCAGCATTAACAGCTGCTTGTAACTCATCGTACTTGTGTAGAGTATCTCTATAGCGCTCTTGTATCCAATCTTTCATCCAATTCCATACTATCTCAATTGGATTTAAATCAGGCGAATATGCAGGCCATTGGACACAAGATATGCCACGTTGACGAAGATCTCGAATAGTACCCTTAGCAGCATGAGCAGGTGCAGCATCTTGCATAAATATCAATCCTTCGCTGCTGTTTATTTGTATCCAGTCTACTCTCGTCGTGTTCTGGCTGGAGAATTCCAGGTCGTCAATCCATGGCTGTTGAAAGATCTTGTTGATCTCGGTCTCTGGTCCGACAACATGAAGAACAGAATCATTGCTGATGGCGGCTCAGTCCAAAATATTCCCAACATTCCTGCTGATATCAAAGCATTGTACAAGACTGTTTGGGAGATCAGCCAACGAACTATCGTGCAGATGGCTGCTGATCGAGGTGCATTCATTGACCAATCCCAGTCTCTCAATATTCATCTCAAGGAGCCTACCATGGGCAAGATCACCTCCATGCATTTCGCTGGGTGGAAACTTGGCTTGAAGACGGGAATGTACTACCTGCGTACCATGGCCGCCTCTGCGCCCATCCAGTTCACAGTGGACCAGGAGCAGCTTCAAGTAGTAGACACGAATGTGGCGCGTCAGCGAGCAGCACCAAAGAAGAGACTCACCTCTAGCGGGTATAACGGTTCATACGCAGCAATTCCCAGACCAATGTACGCCCAAAAAGGCAGCGGCCACGGATCCGCAACATCCGTCAATATGACAAAATTCGTGCAAAATAGCGACAGGGATGCTGACAGGGATGCGCATGGAAAAAACGCGTTTGTAAGATATTTTGACCAGGGGGGGGGTGCAAAAATTAGGCCTGTAGCCGTAGTACTCTGATAAAGATTCCCGTCACTAGTACTACTCAATGGTCGAATATCTGGTGTTTGACCAACTCATACCCGCTGCAGCAAAATCCAACAAATAACAGATACTATGCAGCTTACTGTTGGTTGCGTGTTTCACTAGCTCTTCCCATACGGATCATTGCGGACCCCACCATACACAGCACCCGTGTCTAGCCGGAAGGCGCTCCAAGGCTGTGCATGTGCGTTTTCGTTATACCAACGACACATCTTTTCGTTTTCGAATGCTGATGAAGAGCCATGATGATGACCGTTCTTCACAGCTCCTGAGACATGAGCGCTCATGGAACCACCGGATTCTTGAATACGGCAACCACTGGACCTTTCTGGACATTCTGGCAAAGATGTGCTGGATCCAGAGCCTTGTTCCTTATTGGCACCGGCATAGAGGTGATTGAAATCGGCAGACATACTGTTTTGATCCGAATGAGGGTTTTTGCTGAGAGCATGGCTATGTAGAGCACCAGCATGGCTGAGGTCGTGGCTCTGCTGCTCGGTAGCTGATCCGACCAGGGGCATCCTGCCTTTGGCGTGCTTAACCGAAATGATTGTCTTGACACCCATGAGACAGATCTATGTAGATAGTGAGATCTCGATAATATCGAAGCACGGCATTGTAAGCCAACCTACCAGCTAGCAACCTGTGTGAGGTGGTTCGACAATCTGGGTAGTAGTATTAACTTCCTGAGGCAGAAGAAGAGTATGGGAAAGAGTGTGGGAAAGAGTGGTCTTGGGAAGGCGATTGGCGGTAGCAGAAGGCGAGGATCATGGTGACAGGGTCCGTATTTGTACCTTCTGCCACCAGATGATGAGATAGCCTCTCACCCGAATCGGGTCCATATGTTTGACCGCCATTCTTAGCCACATGCTCGAAAGGGAAACTGGACGAGGCGCCATAAGCGCTGGATTAGCATTGGATTAACAAGTTTGCCGGTAAACGCGAAGAAGCGATTGAATCATTCACAAAGAGACACGTCTGAAGCGACAGCCGAGCAGTCCAGGGATGCTCTGTTTGAGCCGTCGCCAGTTTCACGCTTCCACTTGCCAGATCAGGGTTAGAACTCATTCCTAGCAGTGCGGCACAGACATGTAGCGCCTAAAAGGAGCTGATGATGCGTCCTCCCCTTCCCACAGTTCAAACGTCCACCATTCACAAACGATCAAAAACAATGCACATGGTAGGAGATGGCGTTCTGCGAAGCTCAGATCCGACTTCCCGTACAGCCGATAGTTGTCACTGCCAAATCATGTGTAACCCTTTTCGCCCGGAGGGGTAATGAAGCCTTGCTGCCAGCACAGGAAGCCAGTGAAGCTGATTGGTAGCAACTCATGTCGCTCAACACGGCGGTGCAGGCAGCGTAGCTCGGATGGTTGGTTGGTTGTGACTTGACGTGTCCACGATAGATAACAAAAATGCCGCGGTTCCAAAGCTCACGAAGGAACAGTTAGTTTCATGGCCTGTTTCTACATTCAGTTTGGCGCTGTTTATGCTGCAGAAACAAGGCTCCTCTAGCCGCGTTGCCTTGAGCTTACTCGATGGGGAAAGTGGCCTGGCAGATGTCAGGGGGCTGATTAACGAGGTGCTTACCTCTTTCAGATTCATCAGAAATCATTCGTGATGACACCCTTAGGTGCGTCCAGAAGGATGGAGATCAGCATCTCATCTCTCCCTTTGACATCACCTTTGGAGACTTGTGTCTACATCTTTTCGCAACGCAGCAGGTCGTCGTAGATCTCTGCTCCGTAGCACCTTGAAGTGACCTACTTAAAGCAGCTCGCAATGGCTGGCGTAACCTTGAACTGGAGCGGCTGAGCGCCCCAAGCACCACGAATTGCTGATTCTGAGTGGGAAAAGCATAAGGCATTGATATGCGAGCTACGTCCTACTATGAAACTAGACGTGTTGATCGAGTTTATGGCCAGAAATCACAACTTCAATGCTTCGTAAGTGATCACTTCCATCATCCACATAGAATCATGAGCAGCTTCTGCTTCTCTACACCAATATTTCCGACCATCTATTGGGAGATTGTGGATATAAAAAGTTGATGATTAGCCAGGCGCCACCAATACAAGCTGAGATTCCGGAAATGGCATCTTCCTAGTCTCGAAGCATTTACAGCTCTGCAGGAAGGGTCGAATGGCTCTAGAAACATCGATTGAGGGACATCGGCTAGAGAGAATTCATTCGAAACATCGAGGCCCAAATCAGCTATGCAAGATGTGTCAGAATTAGGTGAGCTTACGCCGGAGGAGCTCTTCGCAGGCTTGGATTTTGGATCAGGTATTCAGGTCAGCAGATCCAAGTCTAGAAGCAAGTCTGCCGAGGACGAAACGTTGCCCGAATCACAAGTAATATCTTCTTATGAAAGTGATCCTAAGGTTGACGCAACGGCGATTGCAAATGTCAGCTCTAGCACAGTTCTGGAAAGTGATGATGACCAGCCAGCATTTGTTGTTACCCACTCCTACCTGGAAGACAAAATCGAAAATGGGCGACCAACGTCGATCCGCGTTGCGATCAGGCCATCGTACCAACACTCACCGTTGCGAGAGTCTCATTCTGCACCGTTTCGATATTCAGCCGAAGTGCTCCATACAATGGAAGTTGGAGATCTTCTTATTACAGTGGATGCTGGGAATTCTGGCAAGCGAGTGGCGTATGATCCACCACTCAACCCAACCCCATGCTCCTCAGTCAGCAGCAGACTCCGCTCTATGTCATCGCTGCGCAGAAGAATCATCAGCCAGGGAGCAGAGAGCATCAGAAGCAACGACAATAGTTCAGATAGAATGTCAATGTCCAGCGTCAATGGCGGATCAGCACGGAGCATAGCTATGGACTGGGATCCTGTTGTCAGTGATATCCAAGAAGGCGTTGCGGTGTGAAATCTCGCATATTCGAGGTTTAGAAATCTGCTTATGACGCATGAGCGATGATATGTTCTCAGGGCACTAATTCTAATTTCCAACTCTAACATGACATCACTTGATAGAGATAGGATTTTCCTCACCCTCTACTATGCCGGGGGGGCTGTATGAAAGGAGAAGCGCTTCCAAATCATTCTTGTGTGACATTGAAGGAGATGAATTTGTGTATGTTCATTATGATAATATTTCCGAAAACGCCTAGAAGGGAGCAAAGTGAATCGACCACAATAGCGCCAATAGGAACTGAACCTTGTACTACGGTAAACTAACGCCCCTGGGCCTCGCTTGAAGCCGGTGCAGGGGCATGTTGCCCCCTTCCGAAAGTGGTTTGGCGGTGTTTCGTGGCTGAAGATTTCTAGACGTCAGGTCGATTGACCTTACCCGATCAGGAAAGTGACTTTGCATGAGGCTGTGGATTGAGTACTCTGCCGTTCTTTCCCCATAAGACGAGCCCTTGGAGTCGTCCTTCGTGAGGATTTCTGCTTTCCTACTATGCCACAAACTACGTACTCGAGCCGAACTATCGCCTGCAGGAGCATCTACATGTACTGCAATACTATTTGACCCATTGCGTCTCGAGCTGACGTGTTCGCACGTGAGGAGCTTCCAATGTCCAAACTACGATTGAAATGGGATGGGCGAGCGCCCCAAGCCCGAACTATACCCGATTCGGAATGGGAGAAGAAGAGGACAATAATATGCCAACTTCGTCCTACCATGACAATGGAGAGGTTAATAGAAGTCATGGCTAGTCAGTACGGCTTCAAGGCATCGTAGGTGATTCATTCCTCGAGTGGCGTAGGATTCTGGGTCATTCTCACCATGCAGAGACCACCTGTGGTGTGGACAACAGATGAAAAGTGTACTGACAATTTTGAAGACAACGGCAGTACAGGTCTAGATTCCTGAAGTGGGGATTACCTAGCTTGGAAGCATTTACAGCACTGCAAGAGAGCTCAAGTCACCTTAACACGAGTGAACCCAAAGTATCGCCTGATGAGCACTCATTTGCAACGTCAGCTCAAGAACCTGCTGGGCGGGTGGGACAAATGTTAGACATGGTTTCAAACAGGGTTCCCTTGGCAGCCTCGAACATAGAATCCGGTGTTCATGTCACGGAGGCTAGACCCGAAAGTGAACCTCCCTGGCAAGAAGTTTTGCGCAGGCTCTCAGCGAAGCCGTTCTGCGAATTGAACCAGCCCCCAATGCAGCTTCGACAAAAGGTCTGTCGCTCAACGTAATTACTGCCGACCCAGACGAAATTCCAGCGGACTGAGCGCTCGAACGTCAGGAGAGGCCACCAACAGGCTAACCATGTGTTCTTTCCAATGTTCATCAGTAATGGGAGTCTCTTGTTGCTCCAGGAATGGCAGGCAGCACAAAATTTGCCAGTCGAAAATCTGCGTGCCGGCCAGCGTCCAATAAAAGGTCGTGATATTGTCATTAGCCTAACAGTGCAGCGCGCCGAGATCAATCCACAGGAAAATCAGGGCCATGATCGAAAGTCAGACGTTGCTTATTGACTCGTACGTGGTACGTATGCCTCAGCCATGGAGCTTGCAGTGATCCTGCCCTGTTGGCGAAATTTCGAAGAATCGAGCCGCGAGACACCTCTCCGGCCATACTACTCCGCTTGACGGGTAGAAAGCAGCGTTTTCGTGGAGTCAACCGAAGCAACAGCTGCATGAAGACCGAGCCATATTGGGGAAATATCCAGGATACAATGCTTGATATGATATTGTCTTCGACCTCTCAAGCTACCAAGGACGAGGCTAGACTGCGGATTGCTCAGGATCGGTGCATAGGATTCTAGGTTCCATGCTTCATGCCAATTTGATGGGTATGCTGACAATTTGTTCTGGTCGTCAAGCACGGCGGCGAAAACAGCGTTCAAGGATAATCTGAGTTTGTTCAACTGGGCCGCCATACCCAAAACCATCATTTCGGTTTGTCAATAGTTTGCAGGCCTTGCTGCGGTCTGACTGTCGATTTCGCAAAGTAGACCGGAGTTCGAAAGTTCTTGAGCAGTTTGTCTTTGATAGATCTTTCCCTGATCACTAAATTGGGGTGTCTGCTGGTATCCTTCGGAGTTGCATTGGTGTTCAGTAGTAAATGGAGCCGAAGACTTGGTAGACGGAGGGATAGCACCCTTAATTCTCCTTCGCTCTCTCACTAAGCATGTAAGTGTTGCCAGAATACCCAGTAATAGTGGAACACCGACGCCTGCGCCGACTGCTGCAACGGTACCTTTTGAAATCGAGCATGATGAGGAATTTGGAGCTGATGTCTGACCAGATGCGCTCGTATTTGTGGTTGTGGGATTTGTTGTGACAGTCCCTGTAGCAGCCACAGCTCCAGAAGACAATAAATTGAGAGCAGAGCTCACAGCTTGGCCATGCATGAGGTCACCAGCAGGGAGAGAGAATTCGGTTGTACCACACTCTGTCAAATCACAGGCAAATGTACCATTGCTGTTACAGGCCCAGACTCCGCTTACCTCAGAGACTAATATAATGTAAGTATCCACTCACTCATATTCAGGTAGATGAACAGAATTACAGTGTTACTCACATTTCATGCAATACTTGGAGCAGCTGGGCGAATCGAAAGTGCTATCAGTACAGGCGCCCCGATAGGTTGTCATGCCATTAGGAGCAAGACAAAGTCCATTTGTGAAGCAGTAGTGATTCGCATCGCAGCAGTAGATGTAGTCATCAGCTTTTGTGGTTTGTTTACATGGTATGTATCCATCCGCTTCCTCACCGCTGGGCCAGTAGCAGATTTTGGGGTCTCCCATCTTTATACTTGAATTCGATTTGGTGATGATCCTGAGCAGCACAGATGCGAGAGTGTCGAACAATGCACTGAATTGGGTGGAGAGTGTCGAACAATGCACTGAGTTGGGTGGAGAGTGCAAGCTGATGTAACTATCCAGGGGATTTGGATGTACGGAGTACTTCTACAGGGAATTGGCTCGGAAATTATGTGGGATTGATGTGGAAGGTTGCATGAATCAAAAAGGGGCTGATGCCGGGCCTACCAAAATTAACCTATACCTAGAAGGCGTCTGCCCCTTAACAGAAAGACTAAATCTTGCGCCCCGTTCGCTTTTTGTCAAGTTGTTTGGCATGATACTGCAAAAGAACTAACACTCATCCCCAGTTGGCCCTAGTGCACTACCGCCCTCCGAATTTGTGGTATTTGCCCTTCGGGGGGCACCCTCTCCAGTGCAACAGCGCCCCCAATAACGTAACCGGACCACCTGTGCAGCGGATCCCCATTCGCAACAGAGATTGCTTGGCGTTCTGACATATTTCGGTTATTCAAACCCTGCTGGTGTTGTTCTGGAATATAATCCAAATGAAGTTTTGGGACTATAGAGCCGCTCTCTCTCGAACACGTAGTCAATCACAGATCTCAGTTGTGAACATAGTGAATAAAGACGTGATGAACAGGCTGAATAACTGAGTGTGCAAAGCAAGTTGTTATATCTAAATGAGTGCGTAGGAACGCATTCATACATACATACGTTATGTAGTGAAGGAAATAGTGCGAAATGCAGATACTAAAATAACATGCGGAGCTCAGGTAAGTCTGTAACCAAACGTTGATGAAACGCGTAGCAAATGGGGCCAAACTGTATTTTCAAAGTTTTAACAATACGTGATTAAAATCGGGATCTCTTAGATGTGTGACCCATTGGCCGAGTCACATGACGTATTCTGCAATTTAATGCAAGCTGTCCCTTGATGAAAAGAGGGCAGGCAGGCCCGGTGTGACCAAGCATTGTGCACCTCGGCAAGCTGAGCTCATGGCTTTCATGCTTAGATTCGAAGATACGCCCCATTTCATCGCTGTTCGTTGCATGCCACCTTCTTAGAAGTACATCAAACATAAACACCAACGGCACCATCTCCACAAATAACCAAATGCTGCTAACCCGAAAAAATCGGCCTTTCTGAAAAAGCAGTTGTCTACCGACAGCATGAGCGTCACAGAAAGCTATCCAGTAGCCCTGAGAGGATAACAGTAGCGGAATCTGAACAAAGAAACACATAGCACCAGCCGAAGAGAAAGCAAAGTATGTCTCCTCGGCGGATGTTCCCAATATCATTGAATATGAGGACTTGCGCATCACTTGCACTCCATACACTAGCCAAGACAATGCTTTTGATGGCAAGCAGAAGGTGAATGGGGACAGAGGGATACTCGTGTGCTTGCACTTGGCCTAAGAACAAAACGTGGTAGCCGGACAACATCGCTTGTATGATATTGGTGATAAAGTTGTTGATTTCAAAGGACGGTCATGGTTAGTGTTTAGCAGCCTCAAGTAAAGATGGTGCTTTGAGCATCCTTATCAGGGATTTCTTCATTATCGGGCACCCTCGTTGAATGTCGTTGCAAGTGTACCTCTGTCCTGCGCGCCATTAGGTGGCTTAAGTGGTTCTAGATACTGCCGAGCCCATACGACGGTACCTTCGGTCGGGTCAAGAATGGCGCTGAAGTGCGTACACTCATTCGTCGTTGGCCAGGCGGCCAGCCACCTTCTGAGCTCCGACTTTGTCAAAGACACGCGCTCTTCTACCTCATGACCATCAGTGAATACATCATGTCGCTCTGTGGAATTCTGTGCAATAGGGATTGACCTATCCGTACAGGCAGCCAGTTGTCTCTTCGTCTTAGATCTGGTTCTTGGCCTAGCGGATGAGAGTAAGGAGGCCGGCGACGAAGCTTCAGCGGCTATAACACGTTTGGCGTGCTCTTCACGGACTTTGATTTCCCACTTCTCAACCATGCAACCTCGCCGGTCTACACTTTCGCTGATTATGCTTTGTATGGACGTACTGTTTGAGCTTTTTGTTTCCCTCATGCCAGGAGTCGGATCAAGGTCATGATTCGTCATCACAATGAATGAACGCGATCTCCTGACCATTCCGGATATTCTGTCTTTCTCTATCGCCATTGCTGATTGTCCATCGCTGAATACCAGGTAGGCTGCTGTTGACGCCGTTGAGGGAAGCGTCTCGGCAAAATAATCAAGACTGAGCGGCGAACCAAGACCGCCCTGATGATCTGAAAATAGGCAGCTGCGTAACAGACTCGATATGGATTGTCTTTTTCCAAGAAGGACAAGCAGATTATGACTAAGAAACCGGATATTTTCCATGTGAGTGAAGGCGTTATGCTGCGGCCGAAAGTTCAACGACATACTCAAACCACACCTTACTCCAGTCAAAACGCCAACGAAGCCAACATATGTAATGCTCCTTGCCAAGACCTTTTGTGGTGTCTTCGATGCGCTCCTGACAAATTCTAGTTGTACAACAACTTTGCGAAGCGAGTCCATATCCCAGTCCAATGTCCTGAAATGTAGCATCTTTGATTCATGGGGCGGTTGTGTTTTCTCTAGAGTACGGACAGCACCAGAAGTGCATCCCATGAGGAGGTCTAGAACGACATTGAAGACAACTAGCAGATACATCGGCACTTGTGCAGCTTTTGAGATGCCTCGTAACTCGAGGTTTTCCTCGTAACTGTGGACACGGCGTAAAAGTAATTTAGCCATGCGCTGGACTACAGGAAGGAGCGACAATGGCACACCGACACCCTCTAGAAGCCAACTGAATAGGGGCATCAGTTCACGTAGTTGCTGCTGGTATTGCGTAGCTAAAGCTGCGTATCGAGAAGATGGCGGAAGGGATAAATCAATCTGAAAAATAGGAGGTTCACAGCCTCTGCTGGTATGTGACATTTTGAATCTCAATGGGACTGAGGTGGATTGAACAAGGAGCTGTGGGATTCTCAGGACACTGTGAATGCCCAATTTCGAGCAAAATTCGCAAATCTTAATCTTATCTTGGTGTTGGATATGCACCAACGTCCGGCAATGCGTTCTAAGTGAGACGAGAACGCACAGTAGACCGCGCCATAATCAGTCAAGCATGGCACTCTGAAGGCAGCAAAGGCAACATTTCTAGCCAGTAAGAGCTGACATTCGAATTAATGCCATACTAGCAAACAGACAATGACATACTTTTGTTCGACGGATCTGTGGAAATATGTCATTGCTGCCTGTTGCTTTTCGCATCGCGTCAGATAGAGTTTTGAGGCTCAAATAGCACTTTTTCGCCCGGAACTTGCCGGTAGTGGGGCTGGGGAAGTTTTTTGAATGCAAGATTTTCATCCTCCACTGCCAGAAGCTCTTGCATCTTATAGGGTCTACATCGAGGTAGAGAAACTGAAGCCGAAAGCTTGCTACGCCTGATTTCGAGGGTCCAACACAAGGTGTACTGCCAATGAATGGTTGATTGCCCAAGAACGCTACAAATGGGCCAAAGACGTGTTCCAGAATGGTGTCCTTAACTAGAGCATGGAATAGCAGCGTGTCTGCATTGATGTATTGTGAAGGGCGATTACCATGATATGAGAGAGCTTCTAGGGGGCTCAGTAATGTTGCAACTCGAAGGTTCTGATCTGCTTCTATTGCAGCATGAGTTGTGACTTCTTCGGTGGGTCTTTGTGCTCTGGTTTCTTGCTTTTGAGGATGATGAAAAATCTGGATAGGTCAAAATTAGAATTGTGCTCGAGCTCGGAGAAAGGCATTATGATTCATTATGGGCAGAGTAACACTGACCTGAAAATGCCTGGTATTCTTGTTGGTGATCGGGACTTTCCGCTTCTCAACAACAGACACCTTTCATTGAATGTGGGCACACCTTGCAATAATCCCAACCACACCACCCAGCTGCAATTATCATCATGTGCTTTCGAGCGTGCGGATGCTGGCCATTTCATGACACCTATCTCGAGCCGGGCCCTCCCCAAGATACCTACATCATTGTGGATGACAATGCTCAGTTTTATCCAGACCCCGTAAGCCTTCTCCCACTCACTCCTGCCTCTTCCTGTCTAGAAAATGAAGCTCCGCATATAAGCGCGGCCCCGGGAAATTATCAACCGCTCAAGCTGTGCATCACACAAATTATCCACTCCAAATCTCGCTGTTCTCTCTGGTCCTCACGATCATGCCTTCAGCACCATATTATCGGCATGACGATCCTACCGGTTCTGCTCTCAATAACGTAGCAGCTGAGCCGGCAACCTATGACGAGCTAATCAACAAGCCGCGTGTCTTTACTTACAAGCCATCTTATGGCTCTTCTTCTTACAGGCAGCAGGGCATCACCCATCCAGCTCCGGTGTACTACGCAAATCAACCTCAACCTCAAGCTCCTATGGGCTACTACGTGAACCAAGCCGTAAGTTTGGAGCTTTCCTGGTTACGTTCACTGTTATTCACTTCACCTCACATAGCCTTCACATCCCTCCTACTACTGCTACACGTCTTCCTACTCTCCTCCGAATCAATCCTTTTATTCGCTTCACCAAGCTGCTTATGCGGCATCCCCTGATACTCCGATGGGATACTATTACTCACAACCATCCAACATCTACCAGACAAACCAATACGTGCCTCACGCTTCTACGCCCCATGCTCCAGCCGGTTATTACTACCCCTCTCAAGTTGCTGCCGGCGCCCAATACCCCGGCTATCCGTATCCAGCCCAAGCTTCCGGCTCCACAACACTACCAGATGGCACGACTCTATTCCTCGGCAAAACTAAAGAGCAAGTCATGTGGGAGAATCAACAGATCGCGAACAACACCGGAGCAAATGATCCAATCCAGATGGTTCCGTACAGGGCGGCACCGGGTCAGCAGTTCTGGTGCAGGGAATTGGACGGCAGTTGGACCTTGAGAACTGTGCAGGAGACGATGGTGGAACTGCAGCCGGGCTATTGGGATAAGGGACAATCTGGCCATGCGGTATTCATCAGGCAGAAACCTTGAGTGGGTGTGTGGTTGCTATGGATTGAGGGCAGCCTGACGATACATCGAGAGGCGCAAGGGGAATGCTGAAGTGCTAGATGATTCTTGAGTCACAGAGGATAGCGTTAAAGTTCAGGGAGATCACTTGGTGCTGCATGTGCTTTATTGGAGGCCGAACAGCTCGAAGATAGCACCTCATCGGCGATGCACTCTATCAACACAGCACATTTCTTGAACTGCAACGGAGCGTTTGTAGGAAATGAAAACATTTTACCTCGGCCGCTGCTGACAGTATTTGTGCCAAGCCAGCAAAAGCATTTCAAGCTGTACTAAGTACTTAGCAGGAAGAGGCCCTCTTAAAATAATGCTAGGAGAGCCATCAAAGTGCGCTTAGATTAAGCCTAACCGTGATATTGCTTAGAGAGTACAAGGATATGCAACTTAGTCGTCTGTGATCTAATAAAATCTTACTATTTATGACGTATTTTAATGAAAATATGGTCATAGTATGGTCAAAATATGCGTCTCTTATCATATTAATATGGTGGTCATTTGACAGAATGACTGTCATTTCTACTAACGGCACTTAGCTCATATCTTTAGCTGCCCCTTCTCCTGGTAAGTAGTACAGGAGGCAACTACACTTCCAACTTGAAGAAGACCACTTTAGGCATTGTTAAACTGGCCATAACATAGAATTTATCCCGCCATGAAGCTGCCTTTGTTAGGCGCCATTAAAGCAAGATATCAGCTAAACAATGAGCTCATGCTCCTAGTTCTTGCAAAGGACCCCACTCAGAGCTCCAAAATTAATCTCTTCCGCCGTCATTTGAGTATGTAGGCAGCTTTATTACTGCATCAATGCAGCACAACCCCATTTGCTTTATCCCCAGTCAACCCTCTCGTCCTAAGCACAGTCAACCAGCCGTACGTCCAGCTCTAACAACAGCAACAACAGCAAGAGGATCGTCAATGAGCTCCCATTTCTCACTCGCCCATCATAATCCAAGCCCTACCCTCCATCTCCTTCGCTCTCCGCAACTTCACCGCCTCCTTTCTTTCCCTCCTCGCCTTGTAAATCTCCTCTCTCTCCGCAGGCGCCCAGCCCCTCCTCTTCAACACCCCCATCCTCACCTTCCTCAATCTCTTCCACTTCGGCACCCGGCTCAGATACCCTCCAGCCTTGTAGTTGCACGATCTGCACATCCTCGCGCACGCAAATTCGCCTCTGAATCCTGCTCGGTCGGGATGCGTGTCGCACGCCTCCTCGAAGCCTGACTTGGCGGGAAAGACTCGCAGACATTGGTAGCAAGGGAGTAAGGCTTTGGATTTCAGCGTTTCGGTTTCGTCATTGTCGTAGAGTTCCAGTGCCAACATGGCAGCTGCGAGGTAGGGTTTGGGGATGAGGCGGCGCTGAGCGGCGTGGTTTGTGGATGATAGGGATTTGAGGGAGAGGTAGTCGAGGTAGGATGTCACTTCTTCGAAGATTTCGAGAGGAGGGCGAAAAGACGGTTTGGCTGGTTTGGATTCATGGCTGGTATGAGAGTCTGGTGATGTTGAGTTGAGGTTAGGATGTGGTATGAATCTGGTGCTGCTGACTTGATGTGGAAGGCAGCTGAGCTTTTATTTAACCATGTGATATCAGAAGTGATGCCTTCAGGTTAGGGGAACACAAAAGAGAGAAAAGCATCAGAGTATAGAAACACTTCAGCTTAACATGTTTTTGGGCACGAGATAGAGGCAACATGCCACTGAATACTTCGAACAGAGCTCTAAGTAGATATAGGTGGTACACTGGTCCTCATAGAATGACATGGCCGTACGTGAAAGATTTGATGTGTGCTGATTTGTGATCGAAGACCTCAGAGCTCTGAAGATGATGTGGCTTTGAATCCTCCACCTTGTGGCTCTCCCAAGCTGTGATCAGCGCATTGCTTTTGAGTCCTTGCTCTATGATGTCTTTCTTCGCTTCGATGCGCTTTCTTCCTTGCTCTCATCCTCCTCGGCTTCTTCCTCGCTCTCCATTGTCCAGTCACTCTCGCCGTCTTCGCCGTCGTCGTCCTTATCATCATCATCGTCGTCGTCCTCGTCCAGCCTCCTCAGCTCAAGTCCCCAATCTTCATCATCATCTTCCATTCCGCTGTCCTCATCTTCTGGATCCTCATCACCCTCCCATGCGTAGTAGTCTTGCCACTCGTAGCCCTTGTCCTCTGCCAACTTCTTCTCCTCCCTGATCCACTCTTTCATCCTGTAACCAGTCTTCCTATCACATCTCCTGCAGGCCCTCTCCTCGGCAAACATGGAGCCCCATTTCAAAGGAGGACAGTCAGACACATAATGTGAAGGAAAGGTGTAGAACCTGTCGTCATCCAGTAGACGTAGACAGGTATAGCATGGCAGCAGATCCTCCACATTCCATTCCAGCGGTGTGGCTTCGTCCGTCTCAAACTTCAGAATTGCGGCTTTGAGGACTGCCTCATTATGTGGGTCTTCGAAATCGTGATCTTTGGGTAGCAGTTTCACAAGCTCAGGATAAGCCAGATGCGGCATGGCCAATTCAGAAGTTCAAGCGACCAGATTGAGGAAGCTCTGATCAGCCGAGCTGCCTATATCAGATGAAATCTGTTCCAACCGATATGGAAGCCGGGAAGGAAGCTTTGCACACTCACCAAGGCTGGTTGAAAGTTTCTACAGATGCTAGCAAGAAGAGACAAGGTTAATAAGTAGTAAGATACAGCCAAAGCTTCGACAGATTGGACCATGGATGGAATGTAGACCAAATCTCGAGGCAAGTTTCATGTCGGTCAGACTGGAGCCAGAGATGTAGCTGCCTGGCTTCTCACAAGGAAGGAGCACCCTGTTGCTCCTTTTTCATGACTTTAGACATCATTTAGACTTCACGAAAGTATAGGCCCTTGCTTAGGCAAGAACGACTGACCAGTATGCACTCGGTGGTTTTTGAAGTGTGTTGTCTTTGATGCATGTTATATATTTCATGCTTGTAAAAGAAGAATATCCTTATAATGAAGAACACTAGAGTATTTTGTAAAACTATAAAGTTACACATGAACATTAGCATATTATTAGAACTATGGTTCCACTTAAAGTATGGAAAACAAAAGTAATATTCTTTGTATTTGAAAAGTAATAGAAGGTGGACGTTAAGATGTCATCACAATCATAATCTGAATAGTGTCATAACATCAGCAGTATCACAATTCGAAATCTGAAAGTGATCAAGAGAAGACTTCCGAATACTTCAAAAATCAAAATCATTTAGGAATCTTGAACATGAAAGTGACTAAGGGAACGCGTCCAAACATTTTCAGATATCAGGATCATTTGGAAATCTAGAACATGAAAGTGATCAAGGGAACGCGTCCGAACATTTTCAGATGTCAGGATCATTTGGAAATCTAGAACATGAAAGTGATTCAGTGAGCACGTCCGACCACTTTCAGATATCAGGATGATTTGGAAATATAGAACATGAAAGCGATCAAGCGAGCACGTCCGACCACTTTCAAAAACCAGAATCATTTGGAAATCCAGAATATTGAAAGCAATCACAGGAAGACTTCACGACATGTTCAGCAATTTTTTGGTTCAAGAATCCTTGAGTTCCTAATCAGGAAGAAAATACTAATCTAGCCGCAAGCTTTCCTCCCCAAGCATCTACTCCCACTCTCCACCCACTCATTCCTCCTTCCCAGCCCCCTCCTCGACTTTGCCAGCCTCTTTCCGCTCCGAATTCTTCTTCGCGGCGGCCAATTTCAACGGCAGGTCAAAAGAGACACCGTAATTCTGCCTCCCAGGCACAGGATTCGCCACGGTGGTGCCATGGGCATCCTTCGTCAGCCACGCGACGCAGGTGTTCGAGGCCTGCTCGACCAGGATGCCATATTTGGCCAGGTAGAAATTGCCGCCCGAGGCGGGATCGGCGCTGGAGTGGCAGGTAAAGGAGATCATGTACCTGTTGGCGTTCTTGTCTGTGTGGGTTTCCCTATGCAAGCATGTCAGTATTGGGATGATGGAATGGGTGCCGCCAGACGTACTTTTGGTAGTTGAACGCCGTGACCCCGGCGGAGGGCGCGAGGTGGCCTTCGGTGAACTGATATGTATATTTTCCCAGCTTGACTTCATATGCGTCTTTTTGGAAGGTGGCCATTCTGGGAACATCCAATTTGGCCATGCAGTCATCATAGTCCTTGGTGATGACTCTTGGCAGACTGCTGAGCATGATGTTCCATAGTAGAGCCAGCCATCCGCCATCTTCCAGGTCCTGCTGCTTGCCTGCTTCGCTTGCTGCCTTCTTCTTGCTGTGCATGTTCTGAGCAGTAGCAAACCCTCTATTGTCTATTGGCCCAGCTGTATATCCAACGTTGACCATGAAACCGGGGTCGTCTCTCTATACGGAGTCAGTAAGCCTCATGAAGGGTAGGATGAGGAACTCTTACCCTAACGTCCCGTCGCTCGATCGTGGCCCGCATAGACAGCACACCCAAGGCCTTGACTACTTCTTCGTCTCGAACGAAGTCTCGTATGATGCATAGGATTGGTTTGGCAGGGTTTGCTGCATCGTAGAAGATGATGCTCTCATCAGGACGCACGACAGTCATCTTGGAGCGATCGAGCTGCATCACAGGAACAGGAATCCAGCGCAACTCGCGCCCATCTTTTAGGGGAGTGTATCTGCGACGTTCGTTCCAGTATCTGGTGGCTTCGAGGCTCTCGGATGCCCAGTGGTCCAGCGGAGGGTATGCTTCCTTAAGAGGCTCGACGTACTTATGCTCAAGCCTTGATAGATAAGTAGTATGTTCTACCTGGTTGCGGTAAAGGCCCAGATCATGGATGAGCGTAGGGTCATTGATGATAGGCTCAGACTCGGAAGACCCATCAGACGTGCTTGCTTGGTTGTCGTGTGTGCTACGTTCCACGTTGCAAACCCGAGCCTTTACATCTCTGAAAGCATTATCTTGAACTTGCTTGTCAGCGGCTTCATCCCGCGAGGCTCGCTTTTCGTCGAAATGTTGCTTACGGGCATTGATGTAGTCTGTTTGTTTTACATAGCGGACAGGCGGCTCAGCGTTATCTGTAGCAAGTCTCTTTTCTTTCTGAGAAACACGCTTTCGCTTTGCAGGAGTAGCTTTGTCAGAGGAGGTATGCTTGCGCGCGAGCTTCGGAGGAAGTGTCTGATGGAGGATGTCTTCCTTTCTGGGCGTCTTGGAGTCGATCTGCTTTGACTTCGCCATCTCGTTGCTTCGATCGAGGAACAGGTAAATGGTAGAGGAAGTTGATGCTGTGCAGTTGATGGATAGCGTGTCATGCAAGGAGAGGCCGTATTCAAGAGACTGGCAAGCTCAGAGAAGTACTTCCCGAGGATAGATCCAATGGCAAGAAGCGTCAAGACGAGTGGTTGAGAATGTATACAGGAATGTGCTCAGCAGATCTTCGTCAGGTAGAGTTGAGGCATCGCCAGCATATAAGCTATTGCATCCTCGAGCATTCAATGTGTAGCCAGCGAATGAGGCAGCGCACCCCGACAACACAATACACATGTTATTGGACCCCATATATTCAATGTGCAGCGAGCAGATATTCGTGAGGCAGCGCACTATCGACGACACAATACCCAACCTATTCGACGCATTGAATAGATTGTACTCCAACAATTCTCCGTGCGGCTATGCACATTCCGAATTGCAGCATTCATGCTCCTTGCCATTCTGCATTATTCCAATGCCATATTGTCCTCCCATTGAGCACCATGATGAGGTAGGGGTCGACCGAGCCTGAGTTGGTGCCGTGCAATAGCGGATGCATCAAGCTGCCTCTAATCCCAGCACAGGACATCACATCAGAAGACATGGGGCTCGGCACAGTCATTCCGACTGTGACCGCTCCGTGATGAATGGATACCACATCTTCTCTGGCACGGGTATTATAGTATGGAGCGGATTGCCTCAGAAACACCACAGTCGGTCTAGCACTCAGCTGATAGACGTTCTGGATGCGGTTTCTAGGTGATTGCCTCTTGAGGAAAGGAGATAACTCCTTTACGTGCACGGACCCGGCGGAGCGGGAACCTTGGCGAGTCTTAGCAGAGGGTCTCTTCCCTTGGCTCGTTACCTGAGTGGGTAATGCTTGCTCTATATATACTGGATTATCGAGGCCTTTCAGGTGGAGACATGCCATGCTTCCACTTCCTTAGAGAACTGTTTCTCCTCAACAGCAGAGCGGAAGTCGGGATCTTATCTACAGGCATTAAGGTTGCTATTGTAGCTGAATCTTCAGCTGAGAAGCAAGGATGTTGTTTTGCGGTAATCAAGCGGATGTGAAAACTCCCCACTGCTTTGCAGCAAGCCTGTTATGTTGGTGTTGGCACTAGTCCATGGCGGGGACAAATTCCAGCACATCATGCCCCACTGGCAGGGATAAACTCCAGCACATCATGTCCCACTGGCTGATGTTCTTCTCCTCCTGTTCGGGATAACGGCCCTGGAGAACATCTGGTTGTGGCTGAAGAGACGGCAGCATCCGGTGAACGGTGAACGCTTGGAAGGGAGCCTGGGGTAGATCGCATCACAAATACGATATCCATGCCTTTGCCTGCGGGCTGGGCCAGGGTAGAGAACTGTGCAAGCTTGCACCATGCTGTTCTAGAGGGTCGCTTGCTCTCTTGATAGACGGATCAAAGAGACGGATCAAAGAGGTGGCTGCAGCAAGTCCGCTCATACAGATGATTGCCAGGAAATTTATTGTGTCAATATTTTACGATGTTATTGATTGTGCGCGTTCAGCAAAAGGCGCGTCCAATTTCTGCCTAGCGCATTACGTCATTGCAGAGGTGAACAGTCACCCAGCATCACAACCTCCAGCATTTGCCCATCCAAGGCCACTCGTACCCTCCCCAAACTATCTGGGATGAGAAAGAGGATCTGCACTACAAGAAGCATTGCAAATGATGGGTGATAGCTCTGGCAACCCACATCTTCAGATGCTCCAGGTACGATGTACACTGGAAGAGACTGGCAGCCTCCACTTGACTAGATGGCCTGCTAGCTGAACAGATCTCTACAGTGCCAAATGCATAGCGAGCCTTTCATGATATCAATATCTGCACTGTACGTACCGCTACGGACCGTCGAGTGACCACACGGGCATCTTCGCCGTTTCTCAAGAGCATCATTTGATCAAATACATTCTACGTTGGACAAATCCTCACAGTAAGCCCCTTGGAGGTGGTTGTGTGGCAAACAATTCATGTCCGAGTAATGAATGGACTTGAGCTTTCAGGGGTGGACCTTGGCAAGGACTAGGCAGCTTTATGCTTCGCAGACTGCAACTCTCTACCCACATACAACCACTGGCAACATGTAGAGTGAAAGGGGGAATATGGACAGCTTCTCATTTGTGATTCAACATCCATCTCTCATGGCTGGGCTATATGCTATTCACCTAACAAGTTCAACGCTACAGCAGACATGAAGCTGATCGTGCCAGTATGCAGGTTACCATTCAGCAAACCCAAGACTCCTCTCCAAACATATATACCAGGACATAGAACCCATTACAACATAACTCCATACAAACATCCCTTTCTTCCCGAACATGGTCAGACAAACACCGCTCATCATTTCGGACACCCAATCCTCCTGCTCCCTAACCTTGCGCTTCAGCCTGGACCCCTTGCACTACTCTGAACCCTCCGGCCAGTACCTTCCCAATCTCCTCATTGACACTACTATTACCGCTACCGTTCTTATGCTGCAGCAATCCCAACGCGTAGGCAGTATGATTCCATTGGGTCTCTGTCTCGCAGCGCGCGAGCCGGGCGGCGAGTTTTTCTGATAGGTTCTTGGCGTGCTTGTCCTAGAACACCGAGTCAGTGGTGAAAGCACAGGGCTTAGAAAGGGAGGTAGGATGGGTGGTAAGAAGAATGGCTCGAGTATGGTGCACAGTGGTTGCGCGAAGAGACAAGTCCAAAGCAAACATACCTTCTCAATAAAGCCGCACAAGAATTTCAAAATCCGCTTCAATGCATCCTCCTCCAGCTCCTTCTCCGAGCTCAACAAGCTGAACATATCCACAAAGTGATTGTAGACAGCATTGTCCTTGGTCGACAACTCCGTGAAGAACATACGAGCAAGATCTGCGATTTTCTTGTCTTCATCTTCAAGACATTTGGCCATCTCTCCAAGCTGACCTTTGACCTTGACTTGACCTGCCAGGATGAGGAATGTCAATGTCATCAGACATGTTCTCTTTACAGAGCCATCTCGATCGTTGAGCCGACGGTATAGAAAATCGGTATTTTCGTCGATGAGGTGGTTGAAACAGACTGCCATGTCTCCAAGTGCAATGACTGCATTCGATCGCACGATAGGATCGTCAGACCGTTCAAGAATCGTGATCAACAACGGTAGATTTCTCTCGCAATATTCGCCAGATACACACATCAACTTGGCGAGGCACAGAGTAGATGCTGCCTGAAGATTTTGATCTTTGTATGCAGTATTGTTGGCGCAGATCTCAGTCACTAGCGGCCCGAAGTTGGCAAGAAGCGAATTAGGTCCGTACAGCAGCTCTCGCTCTCTGATGTGAGCTATGGCTTCAGTGAAATCGTCCTCAGTTGTACCACCAATCATGTCAAGCTCATCCTTTTCTTCCTTCATTTGCTTCTCTGGCTGACCCTCGACATCTTCAGCAGCAGACTTCTTCTTTCGTGCTGGTGCTTGTCCCATTGACTTCCTCGGAGATGCATCAACAGGAGGTTTGCTCTTCTCTTGCTCTTGTTTCCTTCGCTTGAAATCCATTTCACACAGTTCTAGGTGTACGATCTGTTTGATCGCGATATGGCCGACAGCGAATAAAAGCTGAGACAGAGCTATGGATGGCTTTTGTCTTGTTCCTTCCTGCGGCTCCATCGCTTCTTCTGATGCTTGCTCGGGATCCTGACTATTATCCATGGTTTCTGGCGATGCTGCTCTGGAGAGCGAGGGCGCTTTCTGTGTCTGCTGGAATACCAGTCTCGTTTTCTGCCGCAACACCTCTGAGCACAAAACGTCAGGGTGGTTGGAAAGTACATATATCGCCGCGATTGCCTGCTCTGCCATGCCGAACCATTCCTGACTGTCGGTTGAAACCAACATCAAGGAAGCCAGTCTGGCCAATACAGCGTGGTCATTTGTCATTTTCGAGATGCCTGTAGAGGCGCTTTTTTCCTGAGCCTTCTTTGCTGCTGGAATCATCCTCTTTAGCGCGATGCAGGTGAATTTGGCGAGGAGTAAGTCTGACCGTCCGTACTGTCCAAGTCCAATACGCAGCATAGTCTCTGTCTCTTTCACAACAATCTCCGGATCAGCCAGAGCAATCATGCCGAGAACAATGATTGCACCTCTGCGCTGCGCTGCGGAAATATCTTTTTGTACCCCGTACACTTGCCAAAGTTTATTGATCACCACCTCCGACACATGTCCAGCCTTCACCATCGTGCTCAAAAGCTGCTCCAAGGATGTCAATTCCGCCGGGCTTGCCCCAAAAGTCAAGCTGATCATATTCCTGGCGATAAAATTCGCTGCATCATTTCCGTTGAACGACTCTGGCGCATCAAAGAAGAGGCCTTTATAGCAATCAATTAGATGACTTTGAACCCCCTTGCCTTCATCGCTGTTGCCCTTTGTCCAAATCAAACGAAGCATTCGTCGGATTCCAATCCTCGCAGTCTCCACCTTGTACGCGTCAATGACAACGAAGAAGTCCATTGCTTCGATGACTTCGCTCTTGTTCCTCGCTGAAAGAAGCTGGCATACTATCTCTGATGCTTCATGAACACTCTCAATGAACCGCAAGGCTTCGGTGTAGTATTTCTTTGTCAGCTGAAGCTTCCCAATTGCTTCAGATGTTGCGGCATCTTCTTGTGCTTTTCTCAATGCTGCAGCCTTTTCGTCCTCTGTCATGGGTTTTTCGGAGGATGCGCCATCGATCTGCGTTGCATCATCCAGCAGATCGCTGTCGACCTTGGCTTGTCCATCTGCAGTTTCAGCCAAGCCCGGAGACTGAGGAGGAGGCTTCAGCGCAGTCAATTCGTTCTCGACCACCTCCAGACGTGAGGACCATTCTTTGTGAGACAGCTGCCCTCCGTGCATGACACTGAAGGGATGTGTGGAAACGAGCTTTCCTATCAGCTTCACAGCATTGCGGCGGACATTGCTGCTCTTGTCTTGTAGACTCTGCACAGCTAATTCCGTCACCGCTTGTCGTCTTTTGGGAAATTTCTGCTCCAGATCACATAGCTTCATATACACCTGAATGGCTCTGCACCGGCAGTATGGATTGGTGTCCAGAAATCTCTGCTCCAGAGTGTCAAAGAAAGCATTGATCTGAACATTGTAGTTTTCAGTTCGCTCTTCTTGCTTACTCAAGTCTGCCACCAAATTGCCGCATACCTCAATGACAGCACAACGAAGAGTATATGCTTCGCTATCAAGAAATTTGGCTAAAAGACCCATCTCTTTGATCACCAACCTGGGTTCCAACTCCGAAAGCTTTGTAAGAAATATAGATATCGATTTTGGGCCTTTTGTATCGTTCGGATTGAATTCCTTGTTTGTTAATTCTCTCATGATCTCCCCAGACAGCTGGGGGTAGTCATATTGTTCTGAAAGAATATGCAGGAACTCTGCCATTGGCTCTGATAGGTGTTCGAAGTATGTCAGATTCTGCACGATCGATGTTTGTGCGCCAAAGGCATGACCATGATGCTTTACTGCCACACAGAGGACTTTGAAACAGAACATGCGGGTAGCGGTAGTCTTGATCCTTGCTTCACTCTCCATGATGAGATACACCGACCTGGTAAACAGGTTGACAAAGGTGTCCCGCTCCGAAGTTGTAGCAAATATCTTGTTCAGCCTCAACTTCATCACTTTGCACATTGCCTCCATTGCGACCTGTATTTGTCCTGTCGAGTCCCAATTACCATCTTTGACTGATGACTTCGATTTCGCTCCTTTGGGACCCTTCCGTGTTGGAGCGGCTGCTGTAGGCTTTTCCGCTGCCTTGACCTCCACCACCGAGATTGCCCAGTGAAGGAGGAAGCCATACATTTCGAGGATCTGTTTGTGGTGTTGCAGCACATCTTGCTCATCAGACTCCAAGTCTTGCAGCACCGCATCAGCTTCCGCGGACAACCCAGACACCACCAGGTCAAAGATCTTGCTCAAAGCATGGGTAGGGAGTAGGGAAGAAGTCCTAGACAAGAGGTAAAGTTCAGCTTCGGGTTCCTTGAGGGTAACCTGTTGGTGTTGTAACGAAGAGGGAGCGCACTTGAGCAAAAGCTGCAGAGTATCGAACGATGTACTCCTGGTGATGCCATCTGCGTTTCCCGCAATGGAATCAACAATTGGGTTCAGGACTGAGTTGATGAGGGGAAGAGTAAGGGAGTCAGGATCCGACTCGCAGTCGACCAACTCAGAGTCGGCCTCGGGAGTTGGTATCGTCTTCGGGTCATTGAAATAGAGCTTCAACGCTTCGTTGATGTCGAAGTTGGCCTGGTCGTCCATTTGCGGTGAAATTGTCGGTACCAGTTGAGGGGTTTGAGAGATGTAACCACAAGAAACACAACACAACAAGGACAAAGCAGTCACCCCAGAGCACGGACTGAGAATATTAAACCCGACTGAACATATTGACGTCGCGCAAAACGTAGACCCAATTGCAGTGCACCAATCAACCTCCTGCTATCGTCAGTCTTGATCGAATCAGTCTTTCTGCTGCTGGCGATAACGCGCTCAAACTCCGTGAGCCCGTGTTTTGATCTTTCCTATTTTGGTTTAGTGCCACGACCTCTAAACATCAGCTGGAGATGGGACTTGTCAATAAAGCTTCCAAGCTATTGGAAGAGGTTCGTCGACACCAACATGGTTCACGGAGTCATCAGGAATCTCGACAGCAGGAATTAGATGGTCAATCCGTTGGGAGAATTGCTAAATTTATTGCGGCGCAAAAGTCGCGGCGACGGAGGCGAAGGAGAACCAGCGTCCAAGCTACAGCGGACACACCACTGCAAAAGACTACAAAGGAGACAATGGCACAAAAGGTAGCTTACACCAACGAGAATGATGCGCATCATATGCAGTACTCCCGAGGAGCCCGAAACACAGCAGATAATCATCGCATACATATTGTCGAAGATGAGGAGGAAGACGAAGAGAACCTTTCAGAGGAAGACGAAGACGAAGACGGCGAAAGCGAGGATGAGGTGGACGAGTCTGTCATCGAGGACATGCGCAAACTCGAAGAAAGCTTTAGAGGGATCTCGAGGAAATATCGCTTGATCAACCGGATAGGAGAAGGTGAGAATTGGGTTTTGGCAGTGTTCAGTGAGAAAGCATACCATCTAATTGAAACCAGGTACATTCTCCACTGTATATAAAGCCGAGCAGCTGCTTCCACCGGAGCCAGAGGACGACAACGACGGCTTACAGGAGAGTCATTATCCGGAAGACAACGACGAAAACAATCCTCCAACAAAACGCCGCAAACTATCCTCCTCCTCCCAACAGTCGCCGGATATACGGAGGCCCAATCCACAACGCAAACCTCAATACGTCGCGCTCAAGAAGATCTACGTAACTTCATCCCCTCACCGCATCCAAAACGAACTCGAAATCCTGCATGCACTCCGCTCCTCGCCTCACATCTGCCCCCTCCTAACCGCCTTCCGCCACCTCGACCAGGTAGTAGCCGTGCTCCCCTACTTCCGCCACCTCGACTTCCGCCTCTACTACCGCGACTTCCTCATCTCCGACATGCGCGACTACTTCCACTCCCTCTTCTCGGCGCTCCACTCGGTCCACCGCGCCGGGATCCTGCACCGAGACATCAAACCCACCAACTTCCTGTACGACCACTCCA